AAACGAAATAGAGTGAATAATGGTACTCTTCAAACTCTTTTTATATGCGAAAAATATACTCCTATTGCCTACCACTATCATGATGCCAGCGAAACATGAGAATAGGCCAAGCCCATGGTCAGAAGCTGGATATTTTAATAACTATTATAGCAGAGGACTTAGGATAAGGTTTGTTCAACTAGGTCCCCTCGATAACCTGACCAAGTTGCGTAAAGCAGATCAAGCCATTAAGTCCAAGGAAGTTTAATACAAGTGCAAGAACTATATATTATATGCTCACCTGACGATTTCCTCATATCCAACCAAACCCTGTGAGTTCGGAATGACTACAACATTATCTGCCAGATCGAATGCCGGAGGAATAACCATGCCAGTACTTGATGGCAAAAGGGCGCAAGTGCGCCAGGATAGGCCACTTGCTGTATGCAGACTAAGAATATCTTGTTTTGATGTGAAGACAAGGCCATGGGGCAGTTGATAGGATGCCCTGAGTGGCAGCTTGATGCTCGGCTGAACTAATTTAGCCTTAGGAATGTGGCCAGTACCAGACGAAAGTCGCCTATGCTGCCAAAGCTTTCCGAAGCGCACGCCTTGCTCTGCTTTGCTTCCACGCAAGGCCGATTTATTCTTTACTGAATTCTCCTGAGCCAGCCTCATTTGAATGCGAATTTCTTCGAGGCTAACAATAAAATTTTTGGTAAGAAAATATTAATGTACTGGTGTATCGGAGGTTCGGAGAAAGTACATAGTGGTATACTTAGAATTCAAAGCAAAAACAAATTTCATTGAGCATATGAGAAAGACCATAGAGTATCCTGTATGGACATTTACTGGTGGTAAATAATCAAAATTCAAGCACTTTCTAATATATTTGCAGAAGTCAGACAATAATTTAAAATAAAGTATGTAAGAAAATGAGACATAATTATGTAACCGTAGTTAGAAAAGATAAGCAGCAAGTAAAGCTGCATAATTCAATAGTAAACTTATCACAGACAACCCAGTAAAATTTTCACAAATCTAAATATGGACAATAAGAATATAGAAGTTTAGAAAAGTGCATAATTTAATATAGCGGTCGCCTAAACACAGTTATTGTTTGTGCAGTCTAATAACCAAATAAAAGTGTAATACTGAGGTAAAATGCCTTATATATAATCGAAAGGCTGGGTTTAATTTGCTAGACTAATATGAATGGAAGGCCTTACTCGGCCATCTAAATGGAATTTGAATTATCGCAGAAAAGGCTTTCTAAACCTCGGAGGACTTTCACTTAGAACCCACCTCATCAGCTCCCACAACAGGAGCGAAACGTAGCGAGCACGAGTTTGCTATATATAAACTAATTAAGAGAAGTATGGCTTGTCTTGAAAGTCATATTTGCCTTTTAGCTCAACATAACTGAGAATATGTTTGGCTGTCCGTAGCCACCAAACTTGCTTATAATCCAGACAGTAGAGGTGATTAGACCCTTACCAAGTAAGAGTGGAACTGAAGGATGGGCCGGATTAGAAGGCCACCTTGGAGGCGAGAACGAGTTAAATTTGATCGCATGCCAAGAGGTCCTATCCATTCTATCATGAAAAAATCAATAATCAAGCCATCCATAACCCAAGCTAGTTAGAATTACCTCAATTATTATAAAGTTCCTGATGATATTTTCGAACCTTACTCAATTTTACTATTTGGTAATGTAAGTCGCAATCTGGATACAAAAGCTTAAAAAGGGCTAAATCTTTGTTTTTAGATTGTAGATACCAATTCCATGAGAGGAGTAAGACATGGAATTGGCCATAAATTTACTTAGAGGGTTCACCTGCGAGATCTATGATATGAAATTAAAGGCTAAAGGTATAGGTGGGCTAGATAGAGGTCACCAGTGTGTATGTGTAAGTCTCGGGTGTAATTTTCTTATCTGCATCGGAAAGGGAGGTGACTGAAACAGGCGGGGGATACCAACCAACAGGGACATCATCCCAGTACCCTAAAATTAGATGGGAATGTCAACTTGAGAGACGAGAGGAGTGTGTTTTTCTCGATTCAAGGGGAAAAATGAAAGCGGTGCATTCTCACACCAGCGTTTATGACTTAAGCCGGACACAGGGCCCCGAAGAATTAGACAGAATGTGGGTGGGGATGAGGGAGAGGATAATTGAGTCACAGGTTTAAGCCTAGGGAGAGGAAGATTCTCAAGCACTCAGATGTGCATCATCTGCTCTAACTCTTCGAGTATCGCCTAATCGAGGACACGAATAAAAGGTTCTTAAGCAGCCAGATTTCAGACAGCAAATAGTGATTTTTATGTTTAGCAGCGACTAATTCGCAAGTGGGTAGACAAAAGGAAGTCGGAATATAGGGCAGGAGCCCTGCAAATGGCATCTTTTACCGGTGGTGATGACTACGCTTAACTAAACCAATTTTTAGCGACACACCCATAGGCGACATTGGAGAAAACGAGAGCACAGAATTGTGTGAATAAGTGGATACTCTATATGACGTGGGGTTGAGAGAAAGAGATGAGGCGCTAGAGGATAGAACAAATAATAGAGGCGAGGAGTGTGGCCACAACGGTTGAACAAAAAGTTGGTCAAGGGAATTGCCTACACTTGTCACTTTACTAAGTCGTGAAACTGTGCTTACGATGGAGCCTCCCAATGACGATGCTGGCGATACGTTTGGAAATGTACCCAGTCAATGGTCCAATGCTGGAAATCACGAATACTATGGCAGAGGACACGAGACCAGGTACTTTCAACACGGTCTCCATGACTGCGACGAAGTTGCAAAAACAAGATTGAACCAATACTTATATTTTGAATTAGCTGCAAAAATAACTTGTCCACAAGACGCTGGTCTCATAATCGTGAGTATATAAAATAACGAAAATAAAAG